AGGTTGCAAAGGAAGGAGTTACTTATCACAACTCGAAGGCCGCACGGTGCTCTGTGCAGAAAATCCCAGTGAAGTCACAACACAGAGACAAAAACAAACAGCCGATTCGAACCCACAGGGTAGTTCAACAGCTTATGCTGACGGGACAGACGAGCCAGACACAAACACCGGCTGCACTCCCACCCACCCGCTGAGCGATCGGGAAACGAAATAACACAATCCGGCTCCGGATATCGTCAGAAAGCAGACTACTCTGGAATACAGTCATCAGAAGGCGGGTGAGCTGCCAACCCTGAAAATGAGAGAAACCAAGGATGGGCCGAGCCGATGGGGAACCGTCCACGCCCGAGGACGGGGCTGTCAATGTTGCTGAGATGGCAGTTCTTCCAGTAAGCTTTTCTCTAAAAATTCACAAGCTGACCTTCACATCTATGGTAAATGCAAACAACCTGAAACAGCCAAAACGTGTTTGGAAAAGGCAAATACAGAGACGCACACTCCTTTACTGCAGACGCACTAGAGAGCTACGGTGGTCAGGACAGCGTGGTGACACAGCAAGAATTCACGGAGAGAGCAGAGGGCAGCAGAACCGGGAGTCCAGCGATGACGGCTCCCATGCAGCCACCTGAGAGTCCAGAGACGAGTTCTTCTGTACAGTCGCCCGAGAGTCCAGAGACAAGCCCCTCCGTGCGGCCACCTGAGTCCGTCCAGAAAGGGTCATCTCTGGACTCTCGCGTGACCACACATAAGGAGCCATCCAATTTTAAAATGGGCAAACAATTTGAGTAGCCATTTCACCAAAAAGATATACCAATGCCTAGTTAGCATACGAAGAGATGCTCACTAGTTATTAGGACAGTGAAAATTAAGGCCGGCTCGGTGGCTCAGCCTGTCATCCCAGCACTCTGGGAGGCCTAGGCGAGTGGACTGCTTGAGCCTGCAGGTTCAAGACCAGCCCGGGAAACTTGGCAAGACCTCATCTCTGTAACAAATTAAAAATTAGGCTGGGCTCGGTGGCTCAGCCTGTAATCCCAACACTTTGGCAGGCCGAGGTGAGCGGATTGCCTGAGCCCGCGGCTTCGAGACCCGCCTGGGCAACTTGGTGAGCCCTCATCTCTACAATAAATCAAAAAAATTAGCCGGGCGTGATAGCGCGGCCTGTAATTCCGGCTACTCGGAAGACTGAGGCGGAAGGATCGCCGGAGCCCGGCGGGTCGAGGCTGCGGTGGCCGGGAGCGGCCGCTGCACTCCAGCCTGGGCGACGAAGTGAGACTCCAACTCAAAAAAAAAAAAAAAAAAGAAAATTAAAACTCGCCATGATGCTGCTTCACGGGGACTAGAACAGGTGGTCGAAGACAAGGGCTGGGAGGATGTCGACGAGACCCATGTACACTGGTGGGAATGTGTTAAAATGGTGCAGTCACTGTAGAAAACAGCGTAATCGTTTCTTTTAAAGGGTGAATATAGGCCAAGGGCGGCAGCTCCCTCTTGTAGTCCCGGCATTTTGGGAGGCCGAGGCAAGAGGACTGTTTGAGTCCAGGAGTCTGAGACCAGCCTGGGCAAAATAGCAAGACCTTGTCTCTACAAAATATAAAAAACTAGCCGGGTGTGGTGGCACCTGGAATCAGGAGGTTGAGGTGGGAGGATTACTTGCGCCAGGAGGTTGCGGCTACAGTGACTGATGCCTGTGCCCCTGTACTCTGTACTCCAGCCCAGGCAAGAGTGTGAGAGCTTGACTCAAAAGAAAAAGAAAAAGAGAACAGAGTAGTGGGTGCCAGGGGCCAGAGGGGGCGTGGGGGGTGAAAAACAGCACAAGAGATCTTTTTGGAGGTGGCTTGCAATGTCTGCACATGTCCACAAATTTTCTAAAAATCATTTAATCATACAATCAAAATGGGTGGATTTAATAGTATGTAAATTACACCCCAACAAGGTGCAACACATATCCCCTCATGTGGGTTTTAAAAAGATAATCAACTCTGTGCAAGTTGAAAGCAGAGACAGGCCACGGCCGTTGCCCGACGTGCAAAAGCAGCGACAGTAACGACCTTCCCGCGTGTCTCCAGTGGCACGGCGCGCTACCCAGACGCCACGTAGGCAGGTGGGGAGACGCGGTGTTCACATCACCACTTGTCTTCAGCAGTGGACGCTTCTGCCTTTCTGATCTATCCAGCATTTACTTTGGATCCAACATGAGAATTACGGCTTTTGAAATTCAGTTTGTGTCCATTCAAAGGAGTTACCCAGTGTGTCTTCATCAACGCAGCACGTCAAGGTCAGAACTGGACTCTGCCAACAAGACCGCACCTGAGATTTGCCCTGTGCTCTGGGGTCCAGACTACCCTCGCACCCAGCAGCATGTCGCCCAGCTAAGTCCGTGGAGACGCAGCCCACGAGCTCTGGGAGGGTTTCCGACCTATATCTTGTCCCAGGTCAAAGCCAGCCCGGAGTCTGCCGCCCTCCCTGGCGACCACCCGCCTCCGGCGTCCCTCTCACAGCCCAGGGCACACATCGCGCGCCCCAAGGTGGAGCCAAACTGTGCTGGATCCTTTCCTCAGCGCAAAGGCGTGTCAGCGAAACACTGGGGAAACAGACTCTTGGTTCCGTTTCCTAAGTGTCTGGTACCCTGGGGATGAGCTGGGGCGTCAGAAGGAGGGGACAGGAGCCGCATCTCAGGCCGCAAACCCCTCGGATGCTGACTGCTCCCATGCACCCTTGGGGACCCGACAGAACAGTCCTGGGGGTCTTACAGGAGGCGAAGATGTCTTCTCTCCAAGCGATGCTATCTCCACCCACCGTCCCTGTGATGCCCTCTCTGAGGCGTCTGCAGACACTGAAGGGGCACGCGCCCACCCCCCCCACACACACACAGGCCATCATGGCCATTCTTACAGGTTTCCATCAAGAACACAGCAGCCAGCCGGGCTCGGTGGCTCAGCCTGTAATCCCGCGCCTTTGGGAGGCTGAGGTGAGTGGATTGCCTGAGTCCGCGGGTTCGAGACCCGCCTGGGCAGCAAGACCTCATCTCTACAATAAATCAAAAAATTAGCCAGGCATGGTAGCATGCACCTGTAATTCTGGTTACTCGGGAGGCTGAGGTGGAAGGATCACCGGAGCCCAGTAGGTCGAGGCTGCGGTGGCCGGGAGCGGCCAATGCACTCCAGTCTGGGCGACCGAGTGAGACTCCGACTCAAAAAAAAAAAAAAATGAACATAGCAGCTTCAGGAGGCATGTGTGCCTGGCGGCGGGAGGGGCCGGGTCCCCTTGAGGCAGCCTGGGCCACGCTGTGACAAGTTTTCTTAGCCACCTGCCGAAGACCAGATCTTTTAACTATATGGAAAGCTTCAAACTGCATAAGGTGGAGAGAATAACACGGCGAGTCCTAAGACCCACATCTCGGCCGCCATCACCACACACCCCCCTTACACCAGGCCACCAAGGAACAGATGGTTCCAGGGAAGAAGCCAGCCTTTTGTTCACACTCTGGTAGCTGGGGCAGGCAGGGGAAGGAAGGCCAGCCAGGCCCCAACCTAGACGGCCTCAGTGGACCCTTGACATTTCTGGGCGGACTGCACAGACCCCGCCTCGCCCTATAGGTCAGCCGCCCAACCTGCTTGACACCAGTCCCTTCCAGGCTTCATGAAAACCAGCGTGGAAAAGAGCGTGGCAAGCTGTGATCATTTTTTTTTTGAATTGGAGTCTCACTCAGTCACCTGGGCTGGAGTGCAGTGGCTCACTCATGGCCACCCCAGTGTCGACCTGCTGGACTCCAGTGATCCTTCTGCCTCAGCCTTCCAAGTAGCTGGAACTACAGGCACGTACTACCATGCCCAGATATTTTTTATTTTATTGTAGAGACAAGGTCTCGCCAAGTTGCCTAGGCTGGTCTCGAACCCACGGGCTCAGGCCATCCACTCGCCTTGGCCTCCCAAAGTAATCCCAGGCTGAGCCACCAAGCCCGGCCAAGTTGTGATTTTTTAAAGCATGAGTGTTCTCCAGAAAGACATTCTGCCAAGAACAGGAGATGTTGCCATCATTGCATATAGAGAAATCAGAAAATGAGGTCTGAAATCCCTCCAGCAAGTCCAAGTTCACAGAGGCTTGTCCAGCATCCACCACATGTAGACAGTGTCCTTGACCTTGCCCAACGCCAGGACAGACACATTCTGACGTCTCTAAAACAGCTGGGGTGGGAGAAAAGCCTAGCATCATGCAGAAAGAACCACCCCACCGACAGACAGGGACATACACGCCACGTGGAGAGCGTTCCCTGGGGTCAGAGCGGCCTCCAGCATCCCAGAGCAGACACCACACAGCGACACATGGCACCGCGGCCTCAGGAGGATCCCAGGGGCTGACAGCATCACAGCAGACTTGTCCTCACTCACTAAAACCACAGGACAACTCAATGCCCCGACTGAGGACCCGGATTAAGGGCGGAGAAAGTTGGCTAGTCTAGAAAAATTCTCTTTAATCTTGGTAGCGCCAATGGCTGAATAACGGAGACCGTGCATAACCCTCCTGCTGGCTCACAAGGCAGATGTCACCGGGCTGGGAAGCGCTGACCAGGACCAGGTCGAGGGCCGGCACCTCGGGACAGAGTTGCCCCCCGTGGGGCCTCCCATGGGAGCACAACCACCCCGGCACACACGACCGCGCACACATGCACGTGCCACCTGCAGGGTCTCCGAGAGCCGGCCAGGAGCTGTGGACACCAGGGAGGAGGTCACACGCCTGGTGGTGCAGGAGGCTGCGGCCAGGGGATGGCAGGCAGAGGGACAGGAGAGCCAGCCACACCCAGGCACCAGAAGCACACCCCGGAGTGGGGCGGGGGCGCCACTTGCGGTCTGTGCGGTTGTGGGGAAGGTGGTGGGAGGGAGGGTGGGCATGGCGCGCCGAGACCAGGTGCGGGAGAGGGCTGGCGTGGAGTGAGGAAGCCGGGTGGGGGGGGCGTGGAGCAAGGAGGTCAGGGCGAAGGGGCAGGTGTGGAGCGCTGAGACCCACCTTGCGCTGGCAGAAGGTCGAGCAGTAGTTGACCTTGTGGCAGCCCGTGCACTCGCTCATGGCTTCCCGGCCGCAGTTGACGCAGGACTGCTGCAAGGACAGCAGAAGTAGTGAGTGACGTGGTGCCGGGCTCCGATGGGCCCCCCGAAACGCCAGGGGACCGGGCCGGGTGCACACTGGCAGACCAGAGTCTCCCACTGGACTGGCTGTGTCCCATCCCATGCTGCTCGGGACTCCTGTTCTGTCACCTCCAGAACCCGTTCCTCCCCTGTTTGGAGACGCAGCTCCCTGGCCTCCCTCCCAGCGGCTCTCAGCAACTCCCGGGTCTCCCCCCCAGGTCTCCCAGCGGCTCACCAATGCTCACTGATGAAAACTCAGGTGCCAACCCACCTCCAGACTCCCCTAGACAGCCTCTGCTAAGCAGGCACAGGAAAAGCACACTCGAGTACGTCTGAGCAGGGCCTGATCCAGTGGCCCAGGGTGTCAGCCCTGGCACATGGGGCGATCCCAGTGGCTGTCGGGTGGGTGGGTCCGTAGCAGCAGCGGCGCCACCGCCAACACCCGCACACCACCCCGAAACGATGCGACACACCAGACGTTTTGTGACTTTTTCCTTAAATGACTTTATTGCGGTTTTTCTTTGGAATCAGCCAAGGTACCGTGCATGAGTAAATATGCATGTCAATGATTAATTTCTGCAGCGTGACTAATCACTGTGCGTGACAATTGTGAGCTCCGCTGTGGATACTCTCCGAGACAGAGGAGGTGCCCAGTCTGGGAAGGACCTCATGCACAGGCCCCTGGAAAGCACCGGAACACCCTGCCACGCTGTAGGGGGCCTCGGCCAAGGCGGCAGTGGCAGCCTGCCGTGATCAGCGCACCAAGCGAGTCACAGCACCGCAGAATCCCGACCCCGACACGACGTCAGCACATGTGAGCAGCCACGGCAGCTGCATCCAGGCTTCTGTCCTGAATGTCGGCGGCCTCCCTGCAACACGGCACCCTTCCTGTGCCCGACACTGTTCCAGTGTAAAATACCAGCAGCCCGAGAGGCACTCACTTCAGAACGTCAGAGCACGGAGGGGCTCCTGGGCTTGGCTTTAGTTTGCCCCAGACTCCACTTTGAATGAAAAAATCTCGGAAAGAAAGAAAGAAGCCTGGGGCCGCACAGAGGCTGCTCTCAGGAGAACAAGGTTCTGCAGACTTGTGCCATCCTGAGTGGCTCCATACACGGCCCTGCCAGGGCGGGGGCCCCAGGCCAGCCCCACAGACGAGAGGCGGGCAGGGAGGCGCATGGTCACCGTCCGGGAAAGCGGCCCACCCTGGCGGAGCGCGAGGGGCTCTGTGCCCCGACAGTCCCTGCACACAGGCGCATGGCATCTGGCATCCATGCTCCTAGCGCGGCCCTCCGTCAGCACCGGCCTCCAGCGCCTCGCCTACTGCCGCAAAGACACGCAAGTGGGCCTCACACAGTGCACTCTTGGCAAATTCATTTTCGCTGGTCTGTTTTTGTTATTTATTTATTTATTTATTTATTTATTTATTTATTTATTTATTTATTTTTGAGTTGGAGTCTCAGTCTGTCACCCAGACTGGAGTGCAGTGGCCGCTGCCGGCCACCGCAGCCTCGACCTGCTGGGCTCCGGCGATCCTTCCGCCTCAGCCTTCCGAGTAGCCGGAACTACAGGTGCGCGCTATCACGTCCAGCTAGTTTTTGATTTGTTGTGGAGACGCAGTCTCGCCAAGTTGCCCAGGTGGGTCTCGAATTGTCTATTTATTTTGAGTCCGAGTCTCACTCTGTGGCCCAGGCTGGAGGGCAGGGCACACTCACGCTCCCTGCAGCCTCGACTGCTTGGCTCCAGCGACCCTCCCACCTCAGCCTTCCAAGGAGCCAGAATCACAGGTGCACACTACCACACCTGGCTAAATTTTCTATTCACTGTAGCGATGAGGTCTCACCAAGTTGCCCCGGCTGATCTCGAACCCCTGGGCTCGGGCAATCCTCTCGCCTCTGCCTCCCAAAATGCTGGAATGACAGGCATGAGCCACTGATCCCAGATGGCAAAATCATTTTTTAACTAGAAAAACAACCTTGTGGGAAGGCTGGAAGGAGCCTGTGGGACTGAGTTAGAGCCAGAGACAGCAGCATGAACGCATGTTCCCTTAATGCACAAACACAGCTGTGGCTACAACGTGTCACACATGTGACACTGGGCCCTGCTCTGAGCCAAGGGCCTCGCAGCCACGACAGGCAGGAGCACCCACCCAGCACCCAGTGTGGCCTCCAGTGTTCTCCAGTGAAGGACCCAGGTTCCTTGGAGAAGCGGGACTCCAGGGCTGGGCAGGGAAGGTTCCAGATGTGCCCGGAGCTCCCTTGCAGGGCCCGCAAGCCGGAACGGGCTCAGACAGAAAACGGGAGGGGACCCGGTCAGCTGAAGGAGCCCCAGGGCCCAGGGCGGACAGGGTGACCCCCAGAGTAGAGGGGCGGCACCAGGCAGAGTGGCAAACAGATGAACAAGCCCACCTGATACAAGCACACAAATCTCCAACAGGATTCTAAACTACACCCAGAAGCCCCTGGACTTGCTCCATGACTGCACGTGGAAAGGGGGCTGCAGCCCCTCCCCCAAGGAGGCACCCAGGGAGAAAGGCCAAGGACGCCTGTGGTGTCACTGGATGTCGGGGACCCCACATGATGAGACAGGGTGCGGTCCTCCTCCCCAAGATGCCACCGCCCGAGGCCCAGCGTGGGCGCTTTGACAAGCGGCTCGGCCAGGCTCTCCCGGGAACTGGAGGGCGTGATGGACGAGGAGATCAAGAGGCCCTCCCAGGCCATGGGTGGGGGCTGGGGCGATACCGTGGGAGACCAAAGGCCCGCGGCCAAGGGAGGCCACCAGCATGAAATCAATGCCTGGCCGGGCTCGGTGGCTCCGTCTGTCATCCCAGCATTTTGGGAGGCCGAGGCAAGAGGACTGCCAAGCCCGCAGGTTTGAGACCAGCCCAGGAAACTTGGCAAGACCTCATCTCTACAATAAATCAAAAATTAGCTGGGCATGGTGGCATGTGCTTGTAGTTCCAGCTACTTGGAAGACTGAGGCGGAAGGACCGCCAGAGCCCGGCAGGTCGAGGCTGCAGTGACCATGAGCATGCCACCACACTTCAGTCTGGGCGACAGAGTGAGACTCCAACTCAAAAAAAAAAAAAAAGAAACCAAAGCCTGCAGTTAGCAGTAGTGCCCACTACAGGCTTCTCAGACACGACAGATGTGCCTGTGGACTGAGAGGTTGGAGGAAGCCCCTGTGCTACCTCTCCAACTTTCCCGTGAGCCTAAACTTATCCCCAGTTTATTCTGACAGTGAGGTGCTGAGCGCTGCGGAAGGCCAGGACGAAGACACCATGCTCCTGCTGTCAGGACGACGTCCACGAGCCCAGTCGGTGCTTTCCAGAAACCACGGAAGATCCCAGGACTCGACGTCAGGGAGGACAGGCCTGCCAGGCAGCGCCCTCTGTAGAGGGACCGCCTGCCTGGCCAGGGGCACCACTGTCGCATTTGGAGTTCTCTGGAGGAAGAGGGCAGTGAGCACCCTGCAAGGAGTCCTGCCTGCAGGTAGAGACTGAGGGCCTGGGTCTGCTCCCCACAGCAGGGTGCGTCCATCAGCAGTGCAGCAGCAAGCCTATCTGCAGCCACGCAGAAGCGCTTGGCACACTGCTCGTGTGACCTCACACCCGCCGGTGGTGGCGAGCAGCCACGCCACGTGACGGCCCGAGACGGGATCCCATCGGGGCTGTTCTGCGGGGCCCTGGACGCACTGGGGGGTCAGCAGGGCACCCGGGCAGAGGTGGGGCCACAGAAGACTCTGGCTGGTGGGCACTAACTGCACACAGCACAGCAGGCTCACAGGATCACGTGACACTCCAGGGTCTCCCAGGCCTGTGGCGGCTGCGAAGGCCATGCCAGTCCGCTGTCCCCTCCCTGCCTGCTGAATGCCTGACTCCGGGCGGCCATCTCGGGCGGGCGTGTGTGCAGTGGCAGGAGGACCACACGTCACAGGGTGGACGTGCAGCCTGCAGAGCCTCCGGGAGTGGTGCCACCCCTGCCGCCCACCACCGCCCCTGCGGCCTCCCGCACTGCACGGGCCTGCCCTGCTTCAGGTGCCAGCTGGGTGGGGGAGGCCAGGTCGGCCTCAGGGTCAGGGCCACTGGGGAGACACCCCCACCCCCACGTGCTCTCCAGACCCGCCCTCCTGACCCAGCGCATGGGCTCCAGCCCAGAGGCTGGGCCAATTGCAGAGGCGCAGGGACCCCAGGGTTGTGGAGAGCCTGCCTGCACTCACGCCTACAGCTTGTGGACCCAAGACACGGCAGCCCAGTCACTGCGTGCTGGCTGGGACATGAGGCCCTGAGTAGCACAGGATGGCCACGCGGGCTGCCACTGGGCACACAGAGGGACACCGCGGGGCTGCTCGGGACAGCTGGGGCACGGGAGCCCACCGCACAGCAGCGGGGAGGCGCCGCATCCTCCCTGGCGACCCCAGCCCGGGTGCACAGCAGCGGCTCAACTTAAACACGAGAGAAAGGAAAACTAGACGGATTGTTTTCCCTGGAGGAAGCGACTGAAGCGAGAGGAAGCCCTCCAAACCGAGCGGGTTTATCTGAAAGCTGAACCACACGCAAGCGGATCAAAGGCCTAACGTCCCCTTCTGGAGCTGCCAAGGCGTCTGTGGTTTCCACGAAACTGTCCGATGAAGCGCTCCGAGGCAGGCCCGGGCAGAATCGATGCGCTGCGACAGCCCGGCCAGGGGTTCTGGCGGCCGGGACCCCGGAGAGTTTCCAAGACTGCCCCTCCCGCGACCTGCCAAGGCTCCCTCCCCCAAGGCAGCACTTCCAGGGGGCCTCAGCACCGGTGCTCTGAAGCACTCCCCAACAGTGGGGGCAGCAGGTGACAGAGGCGGTCGGCTCTGCGCTCCCGACAAAACACCGTGGGGCCACCGCAGGGCGGCTCGCCTGCGGCGGGTCTGGCAGGGCCGATTCTGTGCCTGCAGGTGTTCGGGTTAAACACAAGGGGAAAAGGCACAGAGGCTCTCACCATC